AAGTTGTGTATTTGTTATAATTCATTATTTGTATTTACATGAGAAATATGTAAATTTCGAATCACTCTTGACTTTGAATTTAAAATTCCTTAAAAATTCCACTTTCTGTCGAACCTTTTTACATTATTCCTTAACGTCTTTAAATAGTCGCATTTATCCGCTTTCTTGCGTATAAACATATTAATTGTAAAATAAATAACTGTTAATCAATAAATGATTAATACGAGTGTCCGTAATCAGGTGAAAATTTTAAAATGAATTTATCATACATGAATGAAAGGACGAAAACTTCTACTTATTTTAAAATGTACTTCTACTTTAAAATAACAGCACCTAATATGACACACCGGATTTTGAATACTTGCCCAAACAAAGCATTATTATGTTCGGTAATGTGTAAAAATTTTTGGCCTATCTTTATTAAGAAATTTAGCTATTTAAATCGTCTCTCTGAAAATTTTACACATTACCGAACATAATAACACTTGGCATTTAAATTTTTAATTTGTCCAACTATTAATATAATTGTATTCTATTGCTAATGAATTGTTTCTTATGGTAACTGACACATCACGTTATATATTTTCCGAAATATCGCGGTGATCCATATTCCATGTTAAGCGCCGACACTCCATTTAAATTGAAACCATTTAAATTGAAACTTAGATTATATTAAATTTTCCGTAACTTTATTTTCTTTTTTTTCTTTCCTTCATTTACTTCTATGAAAGTATTAATTATATAATTCGCAAAGAACTTTTGTTTTTGATAACGTGTTCTACTTTTGGTCGATGACGGAGAACTATGCAATCACCGTTTTCCTCCTAAAAATTCGTTTGATACGCGTGAATATTCTTAGAAGTAGATCTCGAAACTTCGGCTGATAACGTAATTGGCAATTAAAGTCAACGCAACCGAAGAACACGTTGTACTCGAAAGATGGATGCGCGATGAATTATGCAAAGGGACGACGTTTGAACTTTTGATAAGTAGAACATAAACGTAAGTTCCGCGCAGGATTTACACCTGCTGCTGCATCATTGACCTTTAGAAATGAGAAACTATAATTACCAGGACTTGTTTCGTAGATATCTTTAATTATGTAGCTGTTTTTGATGGAATTGCAAGGTTTTTGTTTCAACGAGTGTACTTGTTTGAACACGGCTAATTGGATAACCTGTTAACTGTGGAATTTAATTTAAAAAATCTCTCGTTTTGCGCGCAATTAAATCAAAAAATGAAGTGTATACTCAAACGCAGGATGAATGCTCCTAAGGAATATTTTAATGAAATACCAAAGAAAAACAAACAAGAATTACACGTTTATCTGAAAAAATAAATAATTCATCGTTGAAAGGATTAGTATCGTTTCAAGCTCTATGATAACGTGTATACTCAGTTAAGACGCAGGTAATTGGTTAAAAAAATACTCATTCTCGAAACAACCAATTTTATAGGAATACATTGCTTGAATGAAAATTATTGAAAAAATTATTTGTAAATATGAATGTAAATGCACATACTAGAATAAGGTACACTTACAAAAATTGTATACTCAATACAAATGACTTGTGCTCGTTTCTCAAAATTTTCTTAGTATTATAAGAATCGATTATTATCAGAAATGATGTATTCATAAAAATCAAGGTTTCAAACAGTTCTTTGAATTGAATCATACTTCTGCACGTAATAACACCCAATTTGCTTTTCTTTCGTTACTTGTTAGTACTACGTATAATTTATTTTTATGTGTAGTAAAACCGTTTAACCAGATTTTATCTAACTCTGAAAGCTACAAATACCTACAAATTAGATGTAGATTATAAATTGAAGGAAAAGGTTTGTACATTACAAACATTCCATTATAAGAAAATCATGTTTGTCGATACTATCTGACTTTGAACATGAAAATGTTAAACTTATAAAAATGTTAATACAAAGATAAGATATATAAATGTTACTGTTCATGTCAACTTTCTCATTGCCTCCTAATTGCATCTGTCGTGCCGTTGAAAGCAGTAAACAAATATTCAACTTAATAGATGCTTGTACTTATCGATACGCTCGGTAATACCTACATATAATTAATGGATAAGTTCTAGTAAAAAAGTTGTAGATCAAACTTTATGATAGCAGTTCAGACACCGATACGTTTAAGTTGAAGAGTAAGTCATTTCAATATAACTTTTTTTTTCTTTATATAACAAAAATTTATTCAAAAGTAAAGTAACACATTTATCAACAAGAAAAACAGAAGATAGTGATTTGAGTTTGTCTAGTTTAAAACTGTCGCAATTTGTAGAAATTGACTAGGGGAAAAGATTTCGGATTAAATGAAATTTCTATTGCGAAACCGTTATAAAAATTATGTTCAAAATCTAACTGATCTAAGAAAGTGGAAACTGAGCGGTATTCTTAATTAACATTCGACGAAAATATTCGTATATTTCATTAAATAGTATTTATTATAAAACAATTATAAAACAAAGTTGCAGAACATTAAACTGAATAAATTACATTGAAAAAGCAAAATTGTAAATTACGTAATTTTCTGCTACGTTGATCTTTGTATTTGGCATTTACAATAAAATACGTATGACCGTTGTGAATCGAAGTTGTAAATTTTTATTTGCAAAATCTTTGGAACAATTTCGTTGGAAGCGAGTCGCATTTCTCAAAGGAACACTAAAGTCTAGATTTCGTTGATCCCGTGCACGTAATAGTTCATTTTTTAGATATGACTCGCTCAGGGCACCTTTAGATTCAAGTTATTACAGCAATGCTTCGTTTATCTATGATCTGATTACAATACCGACGTATATTTGAATTTCAAATGAATGTAGAATGTAGTTTCTCTGAATTTTTGTTTACAACAAGTGATCGTAGACGATGGTATAAGTGACAAGAACGATTTGAACGTTCGATAAAATTTGTCTTGGTTTATTGTCGGAACAAAAGATTTGCGCGCGACCGTCATTTCGTGCCAGACGAGAAAGAATAAAGCGATTCGTCCGGCGATATCGCGTTATCGCGTTAACCTCCTTGAATAAATCATTGGAGATTTAGCGCGTCTGCGCTTTCTTTAACGGGTATCGCGCACTCTAAGTTAGTAGATGCACGCGACTTAAATTTTTGGTAATGGTAACTCGAGCGTATAAAATGGTACGCGTCGTATTATTCCGAATGGAATTAAACCATCGTTTTTATTTGAAAATGGATGAATTTTATAATGTCGCAGAAATATCAAACATGTAATTTATTGTTCGTCAACATTTATTAAAATGGAACTTTTTATCGTTTTTGTAATTACTGTTTTATATTCCGATTTTTTTTATAAAATTTCTTATAAAAATAGACTGTCGTGTTCTAGTTCGTAAAATTCTTAGTATTCGCCTATTTTAGTACAGTAGTTTCGGAAACTTTGATATTAGAAGAAATACAAAGAACTAATTGTATAGTTGAAATATAATTATTAGTGACGTCGTTTATCTAATTTTATAGAAACGGGTGCAGTATTTACAATAGGTCGCAGCCGATTCGCAGATAACGTTGCATCACATTTCTTCATACGAAAAGATCCAGTAGTTTCCATCACATGCGGCGATGAACACTCTGCCGTCATTTGTCGTAAGTTAAAAGAAATTTTTATTAAATTTTCTCAATATCGTATTTAATTTGTAACCGTAACTAATTACATGTCACTTTTATATGATTTATCTCAAAGTAATTCAAAAACACGTAAAATCACCTATTTTTATTCAACGTATAATAACTACAAAGTAAACTTTTTAATTTTTTAAAAAACATAAGTGTTTCCAAGATATAGAAAATTCAGACAGATTCTTCTTCGTTTACAAGCAATTAAAATAGTTACAATTATCCTACAAAATATGAAAATACCAATTAAAATATCTTTCTATCAACTCTAATAATAATCAGGATTATATGCATACAGTATTGAAGAATTTACGATTTCTGTGAGCGATTTCCAAATACGTGTAACACGCCTATCACAAGTGAAACTGTCAGTCTCACTATTCAATTGTTAGAAACTAAGTAGAAATACTATTATATATACTAATAAATCTGAGTTTATTTTATTATTTTATTCTTACCTAGATGTACAATGTAAACAACTTTTAAACGTAAATCATGGAAACATTAGAATGTACGGTTTATGTTTTTTTAATTTTATCCTATTCCCAGGTCAGAAATAACCTGTGAACTAAAACAGAGCAACACGACACAGTGTTTTTCTGTGAAGTATAATTGCACATGACTGTATAACCCTTTCTAGAATACATTCTCTGTTAAGTGAGTATTATACACGGATGGTCTACGCGTCGCTTTATTGATTTAGGCACAACCGGTCTTGATTTTAATGGAAATCAATAGGCGAACCCATGAATGACCACGATCCTTCAGTGATATAAAAGTTACACCGTCGCCATTTTGAAGCTCTCTTTAATTTAGACGAAATTTCCGTTTCAGAGAGACCCAATTGATCTTTCTAACCATGATCAACGACTAAAAATAATTCTCGCGATTTTTCTGGCTTATTCTTATCCGATCACAGTGTTTACGCTTTCACTTCAACTTTTAACATGCCAGTCAACTTCCGCCACAGTTTACTTGCGTCGTGACGGTATCACGATTTATAAACACTGGAGGTATTGTGAACGCTGGATGTTGATAATAAAACTGTAAAAATCGCAGTTCATTTGTTGATTTACTTTTAGAAGGAACAATGACTGTTAAATTGTTGTATGACCAAATAGAAAGCTTCGATGATTAACTTCCGAACCATATTTATTTTTTTAATTTCTTATTTAGAGGCACTAGCCTTGTATTCTTAATTCTAATTCAAGATTTAATTCAAGATTTAATCAATCATACAGAATGGAAGACTTACATTCTAAAACAAGACAATAGCAATGACTAAACATATAATTCCTTTATATGTACATATTTAATATTATTGAAAGAGGAAACAGAAATCCATGATTTCAACTAGGATGCTCAGAATAATAATAGAAGAATAATAATATGATGCATGTCTCTGAAAAAATACTGGTTAAAGTATATAAGTATATAAGAAAAAGTCACCTGCCTTACTGGAAATTCGAAAGATACGCTTTTTACCAACCGCGTGGCGTTCAGCGTCTGATTCGATTCTAAAGGACCATTTTCCATGAAAATTAAGTAAGGTCACTACACTTTTAACAAGTTTTAACTTACACCACTACGTTTTCCCACGCAACAATTGTTTTTTATTCAAAGTACATTTCGGTCAACTATTCTGAAGTGTTAACCACATTTTACCATAAATATTTCGCAAGTACAACTTCCAATATGTTCATTTCTAACGAAACGGGAGGGATCGAAACTCGTACGGCCTCCAGCTTCTGTAACATGCCTCGCGAAGAAGTCACAATCGACCTGTGCTTTCAGAGGGATAGCCACTGTCCAGTAAATCGATATGACCACGCAATGCTCGTGCACGTAACATATCTATACGACCAGAGCGGATACACTATTATTATCAACAGTTCCATTTAATCGTGGGAGTACCTGAACACGTGCAGTTTCTTTCTCCGAACGATAAAATTATTTATTATTATATATTACCCGTGGTCCTGCCGCATTAGATAGGATATCAGAATGAATCGTCAGGAACATTCTGTTTAAATGTTTTTCATCTTAAGCCTCTTTTCTTAATATTATTGTCGTCGTCATCACTCTTAAACATTAATTTCAAATTACAGAAACTGGCAGGCTTTTTGTTTTCGGAAGCAACGACTGGGGTCAGCTCGGACTTGGTCATAAGAATCACATTAGCAAACCATCATGCGTGAAAAGTACGTGTCTCTGTTATTAAAAATATATTATATCGTAGGCCTTGGTAGGTTTCCAGGGCGAATCGGATATTTCTCATTGTTCAATTTTCTTGCTTATGAAATGAAGATTTTTAAGTTTTTAGAGAATTGTCTTTGAATGTGTATTAATAAGAAGTTTATGAAAAAATGTTGGTTCTAAGTTTTAATTGTCAGTTTGTCGCTGATCTGAACTGATCCGATTCGCCTCGGTCTACGTTTCACTGAAAACTTTTATGTGTTACTGAAATCAGTAATATTTTCGGCACTGTGTATTTAACCGAAAGTAATAAATTCGAAGCACGTGAACTTTACAGATTAGATTCAAATATACCGTTTCGAAGATTTTTAACTTCGATCGAACGCCGCGGATAACGTTGAATATTTTTGAATTAAAAGAATACGATAAGAAGGAAAATGTAATTTGTATGAAAAATAAAATGCACTTGATTTAATACCAAATGCATTAAGTGGTTTTCGTCATTTTTAGTTTTAAAGCCAGAAAAAGTTACACACGTGGCCTGCGGGAGGGCACACACGCTGATTTGTACAGGTAAGACATTCTTAAGTCAACGTATGTTACTTCAAACATCGACATCCTTGTACACAGAATAATTTTGTGTAATTACATGCATGACATTGCATGTTGCACAGGCTGCTATCACGCCAGTCATTCAACTTTCAATTTAAAAATAGTTTTCTTTTCCCCGGGCTGATTCTCATTTCCTAGTTTCTTCCTTCGTGAAACAGATAACTGTGTTTAACAGGCTGTTTAATATCTTTTTATGTGAACCATAATAATCTTGCACATAGAAATCATACTTCCTCGTGTATGAACAAAAATGAAATATAAAATCTCTTGACACTGTACCACTACCGATGTCTCTAATCATTTCGAAATATTCAGTTGAAATGAAACAAACTGTGCTTCAAATGATAAAACCAAAAAATACATTTATTTTTTCATGTATTCATCTTGATTAGCAACATACGTTACAGGTTCTTAAAGTCTTACACTCTTCGAGATTTCTCATTAGATTAAGTAGTTTTTTTTTAGGAAGGAAAAATCATCTGTTACATTTTAAGCAACAAAGCATGTCGCGGCCACATTTGTCACTCGAAAGATTCCTATCCATCGTTTCTGACGCCCTACATTACACCAGTGTTCGTGACACCCTCATTTTCCATTGCTAATTACTTTAATGCCCTTTCAATTTTAGAACTCTCAGCAAAGTTCGAATTCGCTTTACGACGGTAATAATTAACATAGGATTAACTCGAGAGCGAAGGTGAAGATATTTCAATTTCTTCGATAGTAGATTCCATGTTGATTGAAATATTATAGATTTCGAACAGTGAACAACTAGCATTAATTCTCAAAAGTTTGTTTACGAGTTTCTGCGCGAAAATTACTCAATTCTTGCTCAAGTCGAATTACAGTTCTACGAATAATCATTTGGAAACCACTTTCTGGAACGAATTTGACAAGTAGTAGTTGTATTAATCAGGGACAATATTAATCAGGACTAATGTAAGATTACAATTAACACTAAAATTATTGGACGGGTCAAATTGACCCAATGCAGAACATTTATTTTGCAAGTATTTAGGTAGGTACTTTGCAGGTACAAGAAACGTATTGTTCCAATTTCTATAAAAAGTTAGTAACAAGTCACTTTGCTTGCTCGGTAGTTTTTGTCTTAATCTTACAACTGATCAAACTTCCGACAGAAATACAAGCTTTCCTAACAATGTTCTGAACTGTATTTTTTTAATTTAATATATATTCAAGATGGAATACGTCTTCTTTAAACAAAGTCAGCTAGATATTAACCCTTAAGTGCCACGGTTAATCTGTCAGACCGTTAAAAATTTGTATAGACGTGCATTATTATACACGACAGACAACGTTGGAACCTATCAATTACTCTATAACGTTCAGTCATTGAAATTATGAGTAATTTACGCGTTAATTTATAACTTGTCAGCAGTCTGAGACAGCGATTGTAGAACGTAAGGGTTAAAAGAAAACCAGCGTAGTCGCTCGTGGCGTTACGAAGTAGAAAGTTCCAGGAACTTCAAGATCTCTGATTTGGTTCCGATAACAGTGACTCGAGACGTTTCGAGGTCCCATAGATTGCGATACCCGAGTAAAAAATGTTGGCATTTCAGGCGCGCAGAAGATTTTCGCCTGTGGCAGTGATCAGGAAGGACAACTAGGTCGAGGCACCTCTGCGATAGGAGACTCGGCGAGTTCTCCGGTGTTAGTGTACGACACAGGATTGGCTGGACCGGAGATAGTTCAGATTGCAGCCGGTTCTCACCATTCTCTCGCCCTCACAAGCGATGGCGGCGTTTTCGCGTGGGGTAGCAATCTCGAAGGGCAACTGGGACTACCCGATGTTTCCGGATTGGTGAACAAACCAACGAAAGTGCAGATACCCGAGCCAGTAAAGCAGATCAGCGCAGGATACTACCATTCTTCGTTTCTGACAGGTGATGTCCTGTTTACATTAACGCTAAAACTACCGAGCAGTTAAATTGAGTTCTTGAAATCTCTCTATAGAAACTCCAAGAGTGCATCTGACTATAATTAATTTACATTTCAGTTTACGTGGCGCTGAATTAATTTCTTTGGTAACTTCTCAGACATTCGTTGTCTTTTTAATAACTGCATAAAGAAGACGCCAAGAGTGGGTCATTCTGACTCGTCTCGTAGTTTTGGTGTTAAATTACTTTCAATTAGTCTTAGTTTATTTATTATTAATCGATTCAAATAGATGTACAAGATGTTTCAAAAGTATATGTCACGACCTCCACAATCTGACTCTACACCTTTCATGCGATGAAAAAGGATGCGAAAGAGCATTCGCAAAATTTATCTTAATGTTGAAAAAAGGATCAACATTTTTTTATTGCTGCATCGTGTTCTACTCGTTGCGGAGATAAATAGTCTCGAAGGAACCATAGGTCGGAAATGAATAGTTTGATAGCAAATTGCTGTTAAATTTCCCGTGGGAGAATAAGGTACCACGATATTCGGTATCCTTTTCTGTTACACAAATATCGACCAGGTGGTACGGTGAGTGCAATGATTGCCTTCTGCTATAATCCGAAATGACAAAATGTGTCACAATTTAACTCATGGCGAGGACCTACGAAGTCGAGTTCGGTGACCTATCCCATGACAGAAAAGGACACTGAATCTCGCTGTCCTTTACTCTCCCATTCGAACTTCAATAGCAATTTACAAGCAAACTATTCATTCCCGATCTATGGTTCGTTTCGTACTATTTACTTTCGCAATGGATAGAACAGGGTACAGCGATACAAAATTTTAACCTATTTTTCCAAGATCAGAATGAATTTTATCTTTTTCCATCAAATGAAAGATGTAGAATCAGGTTATAGTGATTGCGACATATATTTTTGAAACACCCTGTACAAAGAAACCTCATTTAACGCTACTGCAATAGTTTCTACCGAATCCTAGACAAACTCTAAATATTACATGATTCGATATAAATCAATTCTCTTTATCGAGAACGGAGTGCAATTCAAAATTAAAATGAAGCTTAAAAAGAAGCTTGATTAAGAATAATTTAATTACATTTGAACTTTCTTCTTGTACATTAATTAACTGTTTATCACGATCGTTAACCTTTGACCAAGGAGTTGAGATAAGAGAACTAGGTCGAGCTTTATTTTAACGCCGACGAAAAAATGTCGTCTCGCCGTGTTAGAATTCCCAAGTATTGAATTGTGTTCGCAGAAAGCGGTCTCGTTTACGTTTGCGGCGAGTCGGAAAGCGGAAAATTAGGCGTAGAAGCAAAATTCTCAACGCAGATTGTACCGAAACAGATGCAGTTACCTAGTCCTGCCGTGCACGTCGCGTGCGGAGGACATCATACTATCATCTTAGCTGGTGAGAAGCGTAAAGTACTCCTGACGTTTATTCGTGTAATTTAACTGGAAATTCCTGTAATCAGTGATTGGTGGGAAAATACTGCCGGCTTTCGCTTTTCGGAAGGTTAGATAATCTGAACGAAGGTTAAACAATCTAAATTCAAGATAGTACCGCGATGAATTAACACATTGTACGCGGGAAACGTAAAAGTACCATTCCCATGTACCGCTGAGTAGTATTAAATAAATGTGTAACTTTGTTAACATTTTTGATAAAAATAGATAGTTGATTCCTTTTGCGTATGATTGGAAGTATTTCTATTGGTAATGGAAACTCTCGAAAATATGTTGAATAATAAATAAATGAATTGAATGTAACTTGTACGAGTTGAAATGAACAAAATGGCCCGCAAGCAATGTGTTAAGTTTGGCTGGAGAAATGGAATTGCAGAAAACAATGAACAATATATAACTAGTAGCGTGAAACGATACTTTTAATATATAAATAATGTATTTCGTAACTTGTAGATAATGGAAATTTATATTGTACCGGAAGTAATTCCTGTGGTCAATTGGGACTTGGGACCAATACCACAGAACTTTACACAGCGAAACTTCTTCCACGTGGTGCGCTACAAAACGAAACTGTTGCTCAGATCGGATGCGGAGAAAGTCACACCGCTATTGTCACTGGTAATTGAAATTTTCTCGAAAAATTCTTTTAAAAATCGATGGGAATAAACTTTACATATTAACCCATTTGCACTATAAGGACGTATGAAAAAGAAGACCCTTGCCACTAACTTTTTCTTAAGTTTTATTTAAGTAGAAAACTTAGAACAAATAAAAAGAACGTCATACTTCAGCATTCTGTAATAAAAAGTAGAAAAGAATGATATAAAATAATATATAGAATATAATAAAACTTACATCAGAAAGAACGAATCGCAAGGATTTCACAAGAAATACATCAACGCTACTAAAATTGATACAAGTGGGTTAATTAAACAATGTAAACGTGGTACATTCTTTATTTATCTTTATATGTAAGGGGAAACATTTTTATCAAACAAAATATGTAAATAAGAATTTGGTATATATTTTTTTTTCATTTTTCATAACAGAATCTGGAAAGCTGTTCACATGTGGCGACGGGAGACACGGAAAGTTAGGTCTGGAGGAAAACGAGAATAACGTTCACGAATTAACATTCGCACCAAAATACAAGGAACTCTTTGTCACAAAAGTAATTACAAGTTTCAGAACATTAATTGACTGAACATTCAGCGTATATTAACTAGAACGTAGCGCAAAGCATGATTCATACTTTCGGAATTCAAGGTTGCATGCGGTGGTTGCCACACAATTTTGGTTGGCCGCAGAAGGGGACCCATTAACCAGTCTCACGCGGAAAATGAAACGGTAATGAAAATTCATGATTTTAATTTAGAAAATCCAATGCATTAACGGAATTCAAGGCAACACAATTGAGAATCACACGTTTTCCTTAACACACTCGCGACCGGCAAATTTTTCCCATTTTCGATACTCATTGCCAGTGAAATTGAAGAAAGTCTTAAGCTGATCGTAGCAAATTTCTGACGTTAAAACGGGGACAAAAATTAGAAAATTTGTTTCGAAATACTAGTCTTGTCGCGATCTGTTTGAAATGAAGAATTTTCCGTTAAAGAAGTCGCAGATGGAGAAGAGCAGAAAAATAAAATATGTTGAAAGTTATTTTCTTTGAAAACACGTGAATTCACGTTGGCTGTCGCAAATGTGTCAATTGTTATCAATAATTTTCAACTACTTCAAAATAGGCAACCGAATATGCATGTACTGTTCGGAGCAGAAATTTTAATTAATTCATCGTAGCCTTTTCACACAAGTTCGTTGTCATTATTTGAGCCAGAGGATGAATTATTATGACAGAAAATATGCGCTTCTAATTAATTATAGGAATTCATGCAGAAAAGAACAACTTTGCCTCCATTGAAAGTCCCAATAAACAGGCCATACACCGACGTTCACGAAGAGAAGACACAGAATGAGAACGCAAACGAGACGCCGAACAACGAAACAAATATGACAGAAGAACCAGCGCATCCGGCAACAACGGAATCAATGGCTGAAAGTGTTCAAACAGAAGTGGAGAATAATCAAGACACCGCTACGAACTGTGATACTGATTCGATGAACAACATCAAGAAAACCGAGAGCCCCGTTAAATCCACAGAAGCTTCCCCGAAGCGAGCGAAATCGGAAACTGGATCGGCCAAAGCGTCGCCGAAAGCTATAATGAAGGAAGCACAGGAAATTCCCATTTCGGAAGAATCTAAGCCGGAGAACGATAACAAAGAATCCGAAAGTAATAATAATACCACGGAAACGCAAATGAATAACGAAAACAATGCGCAAGAGGCGAAACAGTCTGAAAATATGAACAGTGAACAGATGGACGAGGAGAATAACAATGTAACGAACGAGACGATAGAAGAAAATCATTCCGAAGATACGAGACAAGCGAGCGAAGAGAACGACGCGGCTGAAAATAAAGAGAACGAGAACGAAGATCGTAAATCGGAGCCAAACACAGACATGGATTCGGAGGATAAAGTTAAGCAAGAGAAGAGCCCGGAGAAGATGACTTCCGGTTCTACGCCACCGCCGAAACCGCCGAGGTTAAAGTCTGGAAGTAGCAATGACTCAACGGAGAGAACATCGTCGATGGGGAAAGAGGAGGAGCCCAATGATGTAAATGGAATAATGGAGAAAAATCTAAATAAAGAAATGGAAACGGCCGATGAATCTGTACAGAAACGCGAAGCACGGTCGACGAAGTCTTCGACGAAAAGCGAGGGGACCAGGTCGCCGAGGTCGAGACTGAATACCGAGGAGACGATAGAAATCGACAAGCAGAATGACAAAGATAAAATTATCGAAGAGGAGAAACTTAATGATAATGCACAGGATGACGCGGACGTTGTGCAGTCTCCGGCACCCAGAACTGGTAAGGCCTGTACTAAGGCGTTCAATTATCCGACCTCGTAACATTTCACTTATCTTTCGAATTGCTTGAAAATATGGTAATTGTAGGCGATCAGTGATCACTTAATAAACAAATTTAAACGGATCATATTCGAAAGTCTGCGAGCATGAATTTTACGAAAAGAAATTGTTAGAAAAATATATGCAATGTGTTTCTATAAAAAAATATGTAAAATAAATACAGTTTTGTAATTTTCTAGTAATGAGACAAGTTTCTATCCGGGTTTCACGTTTTTACCTATTTTCTGTAAAAATATGCATATTCAGACGCAAGAAAATAATTGCGACATCTCTTGTGAAGGCAAACAGAAGTTCGCTGGAACTCAGAAACAAGGTTTAACAGGATATATCTTTATATGAACGTTTTTATTGTTTTCATGTGTATTGTAGAATTCATTATCAGACGATCTCCTAGAAAAACTTGGACACCCCTATGTATTTTGCTAATCGTTACTAATGCGTTAGATATGATAAGTCATTATTGTTTTCATTTAACAGGTAAAATGGCCAAGATATTTAAGGTTAAAAGACAGCAAGCAATAGAGAATGGTACTAAGATAGCCAGTAATGCAAGTCATAAGTCTAAGGTAATATAAAATTCTTATTTTTTCCCTAGTAGATACACGCAACAGTTATGATATCGCTTGCGATTCTTGAGACAGTTATGGAGAACCGAAATAAAGTCATAACTGTTATTCGGTACGTCGATTTCGGTTATGGCTCTTTAAAACCGATGTAATATCGGCTCTGCGTCGGTTCTATAACCGTCATTTTTCTGTTCTGAAGGAAATGCGAATCCGAAAAGTAACAGTTATAAAACCGATATAGATCAGATATAATATCGGTTACGAAGAACCGGAACCGAGAACCGATTTCAAAGTTATTTTCGGAACCTTCTCAATCCTTGCACACTAAACCCCTATTATTCAATTATGGTAGTTGTTGAAGCTGTGTTCTTCTTAAACTTAATAATAAAATAAATTCCTAACAGTAGTAATAAAGTTTGATGTTAATCTAAAATATTATAAATATAAGAAATAGATTCAAATGCAATGTAAAGAGTTTTTAAAAGCATATATCTATATTGTAATTGTCACTGCAACACCTTATATTTAAGTCTATTAATTATTTCTAATTTTCCAGGGAATTTGAAAACTATATTGAATATTACGAATCGATTAAATATTTATCCACGTTTAATAAAAACGTTTTAATAACTATATTCATGAATTTCTATAATGTTTAATGAAATTCTTGCAACTAAAATTAGTTTTACCATTTCGAAATAATTTTCTAGCTGAAGGAGGACTATGTAATTTTATTTTTTGAATAATAGTTTCTATCAATGATTACTTATCTAAAGCATTCAATTTGTCAACAAATATCTTTCGCTTTGATTTCAGTCTAAGACATGTAACCTCCTGTGATCGAGAATTCTCCGAAGATGCATCTTCATCACATTTTTTACGATACGTGCATGATGGACGTTCAATCGGGACCAATGTATTGAAAAGAAATTACACTTGCATATTCACGAAAACAACTTTTCTTTTCATTATTCATGGAGTTGCAGTGCTCGTATGTCACTGTATCGAGCTTACAACTTTATTCATTTTTCTCTCTCTCTCTTTTTTACAAGTTAATTCGCTCTCCAATAATGTACACGTGATAACAAATTGTTCCGATTTATTGTGTCTATTAAGGGAAGTTTGTTAGGTATTGAATTAATTCAAGAATATAACAATAATTTGACGTTACAAGACTTGCCTTTCTAAGAGATGAAGTTAATGTGAAAATACAACGTCGTTCAGAAAAATGGCATCGAATTTCATGACAAGGAGTTTTGAAAATAATTATAAATAATTTTTTCTTTATCACGTGCCGACTTTTTGCATTTCTAATATCTGATTAAACTTCCTTGTAAGCGGTCTGTGAGAAAGTGTTTGTAAATACAGCTTACAGTATATCAAAGGAAAAGTGGTTCGACGCAAACGACTGAATTCGATGCATAAATAAACGAAACGAAGCTTAACTCTGACATGTTTAAACTTGATATTAACTCTAATGGATATACTATTTTAAGCGGCTTTCACATAACGCGTGTTTCGTTTACGAACATTCTTTTGTATAATGGGCATGTACAAATAAAAGTAGACACAAAGGAACCTAATATACTCATTGTTTTCATAATATCCATAAAGCATATACAGCGTAATGATTATTTGAAAAAATTAAGCTTGTCCGAGAAGTCCGAAATCTTTAAAGAAAGAATTAATTACGAAAGTCACTTAAATTCATCATAGCATATTTTTCAAGGCTCATTTCAAAATTCTATAATTTTCACAAAACTATCATTTTTATAGTTGTAGAAGTAGGTTTAAGGTATTAACTATAAGTAACTCTAATATTAATCTGTTACAAATTCACTAAAACTTTTGAATAAAAGTTAATGAACTGGCTTGGAACTGATATTGTTTGTTTTAAATATATTTTAAGCAAATATCAAAACTCCTATTTCTTAGATTTTGTAAATGAATTTCATTGAATAATGTACAATTTTTTGCTGTCTTCCAATCGTTTTCCTTGCGTAAAGGTAATACAACTTATTAAGGCTTATTACCATTGTAAAGAAACTTTCCGCGACGTAACTCAAGAGCAAAACCCACAGCAAATTGCCGAATAACACGAATAGTTTGTTTTGAGTTTCTTTAATGGATAGTTAAGTAATATACACTGAAAAACAGTCAATACCCATTATAAACAGAGGTATTTAATGTAACATCTCGTGACATAAAACATACAAAACTGGCAATTTGCTAAAATAAATAATAATCTTTCTTAAACGCATGTGAAATATTCTACAAATTTTTCACAGAAATAATATATACTGAAAATATTCTGCAATCTTAATACCATTAAGCATTTTATTAAAAGAAGGAACTGAAGGATACAGAAATCATTGTTAATAATAGTCGTAAATTATTCACTAATAGCTTAGTGATTTAATTATTTATTTAATTTGACAAAACTAATAAAATACAGCAAAAGAGAGAAGTTAAATAATATATTGGTACGTACTGTGACGGATACTTTAATTTTTTCAATTTTATATATTTATTGACACTTTATAATTTTGCTGAAATCTACCTATTTGTTTCTTCCATTGTTTTCCTCGATATTTTACTTAAAAAATAAGACACAACTATTCAATTAGAATGTAACAGAAATTGGGAATGGATGTCCAGAAATGAAATTTTTTACTTATAAAATAAAAGATCTATTTGTACATTCGCATATAAATGATACAAGGCACTTCTTTTACAACTGTTATTTGGCAGTAGATAACACTCTCCATTTTTTTTCTTTTTTTGTAAACACCGATATCAAAAATATTTGTCCAGTGAATTCCGACTGAATTCACTTCAACGTTTCGACTGGCATGCCAGTCGTACGTAGGTAATACAATTATTCGTCCAAACTTAATAGTTCATTTTCGTTGTAATATACCAAGCGAACAAAATCTTCTTAGGATCTATTAGATGCAAGAAAAAGTCAATAGAGATATTGTTCTGATAAATCTCATGTTCGTAGTTTATCGTTTCATCGAATAAATTGTTTCGATTTCTTGAGATTTTTATGGACGTTCGTTTGGCACTCGATGCATGAATTAAAAGAATGCTCCATTTTTATGTACCAGTACGTTGTGTAAGTTCGTTGAACGTGAAGGACAAAAGAATCTGTTGGAGTGTGAAACTGATATTTTCGAATGCATGAAGAAAAAACAGTATTCTTCGGATACCATTGAAATCGTGGATGTAATATAATAAATAAGAACGCGGAATGATCTCAGTATTACTTATATGTACACCTAATCACTCTATGAAAATCAATGTTCTCGATCTCTATAATTTTTCCATCGCACTTCGCTAATGAATTTTTAGCGAACACTTCTTTGCCCGGCGTTTCTGGCAGTCGTCGTTTAAAGCGCCGCTTCCGCTTCAATGTCCTTCTGCTTTTTCTTCATTTTGTGAGGTTTCCTGAAAGAAACGGGAAGATTCGATTAAATACGTTTAGAATTTTCCATGGAAAATTCGTGAAAATGTGAAAGACATTAGAGCTCATTATTTAATGAAATATTTTAGAATGGATGTTAAATGTCAGACGAGTTACAGAAAATTTACGCACTTTCCAAATTCTTCGCCGTCGTGAAGTGTTTCCGGAAGCGTGCACCCAACGGTCTCTGGTAGAAGAAGACAGAGGGCGGCACCGACGAGTGGGAGAACTCCGAAGAAGAGCGGCGGAAGCCATGTTTGAATATGATCCTGGAATAGAATGTAAAAATTAGTACGAATCATCTAAATAGCTTTCGAGAGAATTAAAAATTCTCGAAATAAGTATCTACTTCTGAATAAAATAATTCGAGTAAACATTATCTCGACTTAATTTTCTCTTATTATTAGTTATTATTTCGTAGAACATTCGATCTTATACACAACTGTCTATAAAAAAGAGATTTACGTTAATTCTATTTTCTGTTATAAATACATTGTCAATAAATACATACATTGTCATAAAAATATCATTATAGCATTAGCAGAGAAAGAAAATACAATTCTTCGTATTCTTTAAAATAGTTTTCGCAAAAAACTTCCTTCTCGGACTAATATTGCGATCATTTAATAATAATTTAATCTTGTAGATACATCCTTCAATTCTATTTTCATTAAATTCTTATTTAATCTGTACGCTCGTAAGTTGCTTTTCAAAACAACGGATTCACGTAGCAACTCGCAGTCCAGATGTTGACATAGTAAAGAACTCAATGGAATGTAATTCAATATAATCGATTATAATATCCATGTATTAGTAATACTGTACAGTTCGTAAAAATGACGTTATTTAATTCGATTGTGAACCGGCTTACCAAAGAGACCACAAATGGCGCCGTGATAGAACCTATTCTCGCGCACATGCTGCTGGTGCCCACGCCAATATTTCTAACTACTGTGGGGAACAGTTCACCGGAAAACAGGTAAACTGTAGTGAAGGAGACCGACATTCCAACGATGCCGAGGCAGACTAGAATCAATCGGAGCCACGCGATATCTGCAAACAAATCAAAGAATACTAAGTGAACCTGGTAAATGTAACAACACAATAGTTCAATAGGAATTGTACAATGTTAAACGATTTTTATTTGCTATCAACTATGTGTTCATGAAGCTTCTGTACATGTTATCAGTAATTTTCGTAAATTATCATGATATGATATTCGGCAAATCAGGGGAAAGAAGAAATCATTCAAATTGCCAAATGTTGCATTGAATACTTTTGTTTGAAAACTGTAAGGAAATTCAGTTTCGAGTCAAGGGTTAATCACAGAGAAGTGCACGGTAAAATATTGGCTAATTTTCGTTGAATTACGTCGAAATACATGAATTGCAAGAGCAATTTACCATTCGAGATGACGATGAGCAAAAGAGCGGCAACGCCAGTAATCGTGTTGCTAGCGATCAATGTGATCCTCCTTCCCAATCTGTTCATTGCCCACCAAGCAACGAAATTTCCGGGTATCTGAATCGCACCGGATACGGTGAAATTAACGAAAATGTTGCCACCGACTTGTCCTATGTATTGAGACATCCCGAACAGTCCCATTCCGCAGACGATCCAATTGAAGAAGATCGACAACGACTTTACCCTCATGTTCGGGGTGCGGAAGAGGTCCACGAAAGTTGCTTTGTTGTCCAATTCTGACCGCTTGGAATTCTGAAATTTATTATTCACGAATAAACAAGATGCGGATAATTATGGATTTATCACGAAAACTTGTCGTTTCATTTCTCTTACTGTTATAAATAAATCGTAGACTTTTATGCGTTTTTAAGGAATTTGAAAGTTCGAAATTGCATAGAATGCACACGATATGAATAAATACAGAAAATCACAAAAGAGTCTTATGTATTTAAAAAAGAACATTTTATAGCATAATTTTATTTCTATGATCGTTTATTTAAAAATTTGAATATTTATAAAGATCCTCAGACTGGTTATAAATGTCAAATCGATTTTCTCGTATCGTTAGAATTCTAAATTCATATATCAATTATTATTCAAATGTTACTATTATTTTTTATGTAAGTTTCAATGTTCTATTCTCCATTAAGTGTACAACAACATATTAAATCAACGTTAATTACTATTGCGTATTACGTGCACCTAAATGAATAAATTCATCTTATATTTCATAATCTATTTAAACTTTCTATTACCTATTCTGCTATTAACGACGTATTAAATCTACATTCCCAGGTTTCGTTAATTTTCTGAACAACAAGATCATACCTGATGTAGGCAATGTCGTTTGACCAACTCTGGAATGTCCTTGTTTTGAATTTTATTAATATTAGCGGCCTTTTGTAGAACTTTACAAGCCGCCCGTTGTTTGCCGAACGCCAACAACCACCTTGGAGATTCAGGTACGATCCACCAGTAGCTTAACAGAATTATAGATGGTAACGTGATCGCAATTTGCAGATGTTGCCAATGGCGGAAGAAAAATGCAAGACCAGCCAGTGACATGTGGCCTAAACTAAATGGAATTTGATAAAGCACGGTGATGGCCGCTCTCCATTGCGTGCCAACGATCTCCATACCTAGGGGCAATTAGCAATGTTACATTCACAGTAAAATCTCGGTCACCCGATGGAACTGGTCGAAACGAGTGACGAGTTGAAAAAGAAATTCTTTAAAGAGTGTTTGTAAAATTCTATTGTACATATCTTAAGCTACAATGAGAATTCAAATTATTCAATTTGCGAATAACCAAGACTTTCAGCTATTGAGGTTGCGCAACATTAGAACTCGGTAAATCGAAGTACTATCTTACGTTAATATTCATTTAAACACAAGGATAAGGTATTATTTTGCTATGGGAACTGAAAATCCATATTTTGGTTTTTAATACTTTAAAATAGGTTTTCATTTAACCCCTTAGCTTGAAATATTAAGTCAAAAATTCGGAAAGGATTGCATATAAAATATAATACTATTTTCGAATATAAATATTACAGTTTGCAATTCTTTAAATTGTAAATTATATGAAAATTCACTTATTTTATGGATTTTTTAAAATATTCAAGTATTATCTTGATTCTTTTGTCATTTTTATCTTTGTCTATTACTTTAATATTCCCATTATGTCACTTTTATTTTTAGTATAATTTCCAATTTTCTGTAAATTGATCACTACATTTAATACTCATATTAGTACACTGTATTATTTAAATATAAATAAAATCACTGAAAAAGTGATTTATCATTTTCCAATACTGTATATACTGCAAAATACACATAACAGGCTACACGTTAAAATTCGTAATGGTTCATGTACTCAGTCCATTACAAAATTCAATATCCTAATACAATGATACAATTTTAAACGAAACCTTTACTACTTTAGATTATTTACTCTTAACGACATCATTAAATTACAAAATGATGTAAATGTTCGAACATTTAAATTTTCATTTTACAGTCTACTATGTTGGTAATCAGCATAATTATAAAAGAACATATTGTAATAATTATAAAAGGAATAATTTTTACTTACAAATGACGTAGCTAGTAACCATCGTGCCACCGGTGGCCAAGGCGCTGAGCAATTTCATTAGTAACAACGCCGGGAACCATGGCACAATTGCGCAGCCAATACCGGAAATCAGCTGGAGAACCACGGATACCATCAACGGCATCTTTCTACCATATCTATAGCAAACGATTAGCGCATTTGAATTTCGTTGAATATTCGGGACGTCAGTAATATCGTACAGATCTTAATAGTTAATAAAATCGCAGAGTCAAATGATCTACGCGTAATGAATCAATATTGTCTGTACCTATCTGCTAGATTGCCAAATATAATATTGCCCAAAAGTACGCCGAACATCAAAATAGATTGCTGGATATTGGCGTAATGCGTTCGACTGCATACTAAGTTCCACTGAAATAACGTAATAATAAACAAAAATTTAAAAACTGTCCGATATTGGGAGAATTGACGAGAAACAATTATTTCTATAACAAAAATGAAGAAAATGGGAAGAGTTACGAAACATTTCCATCAAAAAAAGCTCTCT